ATCAGCTCGCACGGCCACACCACAAGACTACACCATGCCCACTAATTCCTGTCTGTTAACCACACACGTGTACCTACGCAAAGAGTGCGGGAAGCAATAAAGAGATAATAAAAAGGTTTTAGATTAAGAAACAAAAGATGTGACGTGAAAGATTAAAGAAAAAAAATAAATTGGTAGTTTTTAGTCAAAAGTAGAATTCTCTTCTTGTATGAGTATCTATTTAGTATTAATTTTGGTGTTCCCACCTGAAGAGGAATTCATTTTACACTCGAAACGTGGAGATTTGTTTCTCTTCCCTTTATATTGTCATTATTTGTCATTTCACATTTCCCTTTCTCTGTTTCCCTCGCGGGTTACTACGTACCCGGTGATTCTTCTTTATTATCTTTTCCTTTACCCCCTCCCCTCAACCTTGGCCATAAAGCAGATCTTTAATCTCCCTCCCTATTCCAAGTTTTTTGCATTTTTAAAAATACTTTTCCTTCCTCGCCTGTTTGTAAATTCTACCTCAGTCTTTTCGCTTCTCTCCTCTCCTCTGGTTCTTATTGCCGTAGAGCAATAAGAACCAGCCTCTTGTGAACCGCAGGCGTGGTTGAGGGAAATCTTTATCATTTTGGTCGTTTTTCATCTCTAAGATTGTATTAACAACCACATTTTTCACCTCTTTCCTTTTCCCGTTATTTGCCTTTTCTTTTCTGTTATTCTTCATCCTTTTCCTTGGTTTCATCTCATTTTACAGCTACTTTTTCCCTCTCTTCTTGCAATATATCCCATTCCTACCGCGGTTTCCCCATACCACAACGAAACCAATTAAAGAACGCTTATTATCGTCTCCTTCACCTCTTCCTTCTTCATCTCCCGTTATTTTCCAGCTCCTTCGTCTCCTTCTCCTCTCCCTTCTTCATCTCCCGTTACCTTCCAGCTCTCCTTCTCCTCCTTCTTCATCTCCCGTTATCTTCCAGTTCCTTCGTCTCCTTCTCCTTTTCCTTCTTCATCTCACGTTATCTTCCACTCCTTCGTCTCCTTCTCCTCCCTCTTCATCTCCCGTTCCCTTTCAGCTCCTTCGTTTCCTTCTCCTCTCCCTTCTTCATCTCCCGTTATCTTCCACTCCTTCGTCTCCTTCTCCTCCCTCTTCATCTCCCGTTCCCTTTCAGCTCCTTCATTTCCTTCTCCTCTCCCTTCTTCATCTCCTGTTATCTTCCACTCCTTCGTCTCCTTCTCCTCCCTCTTCATCTCCCGTTCCCTTTCAGCTCCTTCGTTTCCTTCTCCTCTCCCTTCTTCATCTCCCGTTATCTTCCACTCCTTCGTCTCCTTCTCCTCCCTCTTCATCTCCCGTTACCTTTCAGCTCCTTCGTTTCCTTCTTCTCTCCCTTCTTCATCTCCCGTTACCTTCCAGCTCTCTCGTCTCCTTCTCCTCTCCCTTCTTCATCTGCCATTACCTTCCAGCTCTCCTTCTCCTGTACGACGTGATGAGCAAGACCAGCTTCGACAACACGAGGGCGTGGCTTGGCGAGGTGCACGAGTACGCCCAGGACGACGTCGTCATCATGCTGATCGGTGAGGATTTCGGGGTCAGCTGGTTTTGGCCGCGTCTTCATGAGGATCATCTCCTTGTAATTGATATTATTTTGTAAATGATATTTTTTTGTTTCTTTGTTTGCTTGGATTATTTGTAATTTAGATATTATTTTCTTATTTTTTAAAGCCTTTATTTGACTTTTATGTGCCTCGTTTTTCATCTTGGTTAGATCATTTTAAGCTGTTCTCTCACTGTAATGTTCTTCATACTTAATGTTTTTTACTTGATTGTCCATTTTTGAGGGGTTATTTGTCCCTTTATTACTATGGTTTTATTATTTCTTTTACTTTCTTGATCATTATTATTATTATTATTATTATTATTATTATTATTATTATTATTATTATCATTATTATTATTATTATTATTATTATTATCATTATTACTATTATTATCATTGTTACCATTATCATTATCATTGGCATTATCATTATCATTATCATTATCATGATCATCATTTATATTATTGTTATGACACATTAGTTTATTACTGATATCATTATTAATGTTGTTGTTGTAATTATTGTTATTATTATCATTATTACTAACATAATGTTTTTTTTATTGTTTTTATTATCATCATCCATTCATTCTCCTCCTCCTAATCCTAATCCTTTATCTCCCCATCACCACCACAACCACCACTCCCCCCTCCTCCTCCATCCCCACCTTCCTCTCCCCCGTGCCCCCTACTGACCTCCTCCTCTTCCTGCGCCCCCTCCTTCCTCTCCCTTTTTGCCCCCCACGCACCTCCTCCTCCTCTTCCACCCTCTCCTTCCACCCCTCCTTGCCTCCCACTCACCTCCTCCTCCACCCTTTCCTTCCACCCCTCCTTGCCCCCCACTGACCTCCTCCTCCTCCTCCTCCTCTTCCTCCACCCTCTCCGTCCACCCCCTCCTTGCCCCCCACTGACCCCGTCCTCCTCCCGCAGGCAACAAGTGCGACGTGAACGGCGAGCGTGTGGTGCGGCGCGAGGACGGAGAGCGACTGGCCCGCGAGTACAACGTGGCCTTCATGGAGACGTCGGCCAAGACGGGCCTCAACGTCGACCTCGCCTTCATGGCCGTCGCCAGGTGCCTTTGGGGGGCCTTCTTTCGTCTTTGGCCTTTTCTATATGTTTTATTTTATTTTATTTTATTCTTCTTTTCTTCTTCTTTTTGGTGTGTGTGTCTTTTTTAGTTTGTTTTTTTTTCTGGGGAAAAAAACCTTCTGAGGAAGGTGTTTTGTGAATTTTTTTTTTTTCTCTCTCTCTCTCTTCTTTTTTCGACTTTTCTTTCTTTCTTTAATTTTCTCGTTATTTTTCGATAATCACTATTACTCCTTTTCATTTTTCCCATCTTTCTTTCTTTTCTTCTCGTTTTGGTTGATATGCATTATCTTTCCTCCTCGGCTTCGTTTTTCTCTTTCTCTTTCTTCTTCATTTTACTTTTTGTTTCTCGTTTTCATATTCCTCCTCTCTTTCTCCACATTTTTTTCTTGCATGCTTTTCTATCCCCCCAATTCTTTATATTACCCTGTCCACTTCTTTCTCAAAAGCTTGAGATTGTGGAATTAGAAATGAGAATAGTATACAAGTCAGATATAGATATTCGGTTTTGACAAAAGAAATCAATAAGAAAAACAATAGATAGTGGGAATGTAAATATAGATAAATGCATAATGTAAACATAGATAATACATTTTGAAATGTATAAACCAGAAATATAGAAATATAAATATGAATAGATACATACCAATAGCCAGATAGATTGAAAAATAGATTGATACGCCGATACACAGACAGAGAGATGCAAATACAGCATAAGCATACACACCTTAGTCATACAGACATAGATGCAGCATTGACCGAGCACTAACCCCCCCCCCCCCGCACCCGCAGAGAGCTGAAGGCGCGCAAGTCGAACAACCCGAACGAGCGCAAGTTCAACGTGGCCGACTACGTGCGCCAGGAGGCCAAGAGCGACGGCTGCGTCTGCAACGTTGGCTAAGGACAGGAACACGAAGACGCAACGTTAACCATCAAACGTTTTTTTTTTTTTATTCAGTGATGACGCTTTGTCCTTGAATTTGGCGGTCCAGCAGGGCGCTAGTCTGTTCCGTGTCTGTCAGTGTCTGTGGCGGCGCAGATAGACCCAAGACAGGGAGGTCGGCTGGAGTGAGATTTGTGTCTGTCTTTATATGAAAACGGCGTCTGTTTCTGTGTCGAAGGGCGGGAGGGATGTCTTGTATGGCAGGCTTGGCTTTTAGCGGAGGTGCTTCAGTGTCTTGTATCTGGAAGGTTCTGTTTATTGGGACAGTCAGGCCGTACGTGTACATAGGGCCGAGAGAGCATTTTGTGTCTGTGGAGGTGTCTGGGCCTAAGCATTCGGAGTCTCTCTGTCGGAGCTCTGGCAGTCGATTCGAAGTATTATAATAATACGAAGTTTTGGATACTGTAAATCAGGGGTACAAGTCATAACGTAAAGCCATATAGTAAGAAATACAAGATACTAAATATATGAAATATAGCAACGCTGATCTGCAGTGTGCCCGCAGATATACGTAATTTTGCGCGTAACAAATGATACAACTCACTCTAGGGAAATTCCATGAAGAAAATAAGGAATAAGGCTGAGAGAGCAGGTAGGGCTGCTGTTGTCGGTGTCCAACACCAAATTGTTTCCCAAATTTCACGAAACCGGTAGCCGCGAGAACCTACTAAGGATGGACACGTATTAGAGACCGGACAGCGTTGAGACATCCGGATAAACGGGAAGTCAGACGATATAGCAAAGATCCTCAATTCAGATGAAAGCGTTGGCTGAAGATTTGCCGTTCTTGGTGTCAAATCTTGCTCCTTTCACGGAAAATGACACATAAAAGGACTGTACACACAAGAAACACGAAAGGCCAAAGTTGTTCACCCGATGTAGATACAGATACGTCCATTTTATAACACGTGTATTTATTACGACAAGGTTCTTCGCTTGCAGGCAAATGATTGTATGTATAAATAACCACATATTTATTTGAACGAAATACCTGCTTGCAAAGACTCGTAGCCAAAGGTATAAACATAAACACAAACTTCCACAGAAAACCGGGTAATCCTACATCCCAGGACAATAAAGAGGATATAATCACATATAAACACGTCATTATGTTATCTCTACAGTATGGTGTGCAAGAGTGATATTACTTGCTATGAAAATTTACTGACCTTCAGTGGTGGTAATGGTTGAAATTACTTGCTATGAAAATTTACTGACCTTCAGTGTCAATAATGATACAGTTAATCCTATTGCGTTTATACAAGGTTCAGACAAAAGCACAATAGAGTTTTCATGTAATATCCCGATATTTTTTTTGTATGTCTGTAATTATTTGTTTTCATCTGTATCTTGCAGATATATGATTTGTTCGTGTAAAGTTTGAAAAAATA